ACAGAGAATGGATCGACGCCTTGGGTGAATTAACAAAGAAAACGAGTAGCTTTGTAACGGGGACTAAACAAAAAATGGTGGATGTCTTTCATTGTTGTTTGATTACTCATTTTTAACATTTTATAGTTTGACATTTTTTTAAAACTTAGATATGTCTTTTAAAGCAGTTATTGGAGACAGGAAATCCTTGAATTAGAACAATATACTTACCATATATCGTTAGTTTAATAAAAAAAAAACAAATCAGATATCTGCGGTAAATACATGTCTAAAGGTTACTTTATCTATGACTAAGAAGGGTATTTTATACAAAAGCCGACATATTTTTTTATTGTTTCCTTATACACGGAAAAAACAATGTTCAATTGATAGTTGAAAAAAATATTTTTATGTCACCCTTAAAATAATATCGTCTTCTATGTACTGTCTGTCAGTGGTCCATTTTCTTTGTTAAGGTAGACTTAATAAAGAATTATAGATAAACAAAAAGTGCAATAACAACGTTAACGGAGTGATAATGGTAGAGACAGTAATATAAACAAAAATGCTTGAAATTAGCCACTTCAGCAGATCTTCACATAGATATTAATCTTGTGCGAAAATTATATGACATGTATTGGTTCTATGAATTTACAATGGTTCATCATATCAATAATACTGATGCCGTTATATCATATCATTAATATGTTATATCATATCATTAATACATGATATCATATTGATACGTTATACCATATCATTAAAACTTATACTCATCTCAAAATAAAGAAACATAGAGATTAGAGAAAGCAAAGCAACAAACGAAAACCCAAAAAACACCCACTCCATAAAATGAAAATCGTGGTTATTAAAAATAAAGAAAATAAATTAATAATGATGAAAAAAAATCGTCGTAAAACATACAAAAGATTTCCCTCGTTTTATCATACTAATCAGCCTCATGGATCACAGAGCTAAGGGGAAATCCTGTTTGATATTGCAACCGACAGAAAACATCTCTCCTGCATAATCAATTAACCTCGCTTCCCGTGTTTTGTGCGTAGCCGTTTTAGGTGACGAGTGGCTCCTTCCCATCACTTGTCTCAGCTGTTTCGTAATGCACAAAGCAACGTCCATGAAAGGGGTTAAACGGATGGGTGAATTGCAGATTCTTTACTCGTTTATGAATGGGAGATCGTTGTAGTCAACAAGTAAATGATGAAATTCGATGTGGAGGTGGATAACGATGAATTAAACGAGCGAATGATTGAATGCGGTGTGTGAATTAAAGATAACGAAGGGATGATGATTTATAAGAAATGATAAGTTGAATAAAGAAATTTGATAAGTGGCAGGTGTTATTGCAACGACACCTTTTAGAGCAATAAAGGTCAGAGATGTACATATAAGGATAGTTGGGACGTAGGTTACCAGATGTTGTAAAATATTATTGTGCTATAAACAAGGTCGAATTATTATCCGATAAATAAGATACGGGAACACGCAATATGTTATAGAGGTAAATATAAATGGTGTAGAGGGTGACTTTATTATTCCATACATTAATTTAGGTATTTGATAGGCTAAACGCTTTGACTCCATTTTTTTATGATCAATGT